CAAAACCAATATGGGTACAATGTGGGTTACAGCTATGATCAACAAGAAGATAGTAAGTATAGCTGCTTAAGTAATACTGAGCCAATGGGGAAGCAGGTCACTTAGTGGGCATGGAAAGATCCCAGGTAGGTGAGGATTTGGGGTCTTGGCTGCCCTGTGAGGTAACTAGTGCCTATCTTGACCATGTTGTATCACTAATCTCACCCCTTCAGGGATAAGTAAGTCTGTTTCTTTTGTTGTTATCTTGAGGCCCGGCCTCCAACTGTTGTGTCTCTGGCCACAGCTATAGTGGATTTTTCACCTTTAGTCTTGACTCTATAGAGGGCCCAGCCCTGTCTGACTGCCTAAAGTATTTCTACCTAATTCATCTGTCTGTAATACTGTGGTTCATATGTAGGTCAGCCCAATACTTTTCCAGAAAGTTTGGGGTAAGTAGAATATTACTTCTTAACCAATTGAAATGACTTAAGGATCATTAAAGATTAGCTTGTGATTAAAGAAAAAAAAGCACTACAGTGACTAACTGAAAACTTTTTTTTAATTCAGTAGAGATAAGTGAATATTGACTCTGTCCAAGCCAAAACTATATAGTGTTTTTTTTTTTTTTTGCCCTCTACTAAAGTGACTATGCTAGCAACCAAGCAATGGCAGATGAGGGTCAGGCAGTTAAGATCAAGAGTTCAGGATTAAAGGAAAGAAGGTACAACTGTAACTGTAGTTTATTTCTCACGCTCTCTCTCCCTCCTGGATAGTTTCATAATTGTGGTGATTGGGTCACCACAATGCCAGTGAGTCAATTCCAGCTTTGGCTGATTATGTAATACCTCTGACATGACCCTCTTCACTTTAATTTATAAAAAAATTATAACATTGTATACCAATGACATTTTATTCTGCTATTTAGAAGCTCTTTTCTTAGGGCTACACAGATTTCTAATTCATGAATTTCATTAGCTATAGTTACAGTACAAGTGACAACATTACAGATCAGTGACTTTCTGACAACAGCTTCTTATCTTGACAAGGGGTAGAAACTTCTATAATATTTTTCTTCTCTAGGTCTTCCAGTATTGGAAGTTGCATTAAATGCTTATATGACCCAAGGCCAAGGACACTCAGAAGTGTGGAAGAGGATGCTTCATTCATTCACCATTATTTACCCCCTCATTCAGGAAATGTGACTGAGCATCTCTCTGTGCCTATGGACTAAGTTAATAGCTAACCCTAACTTGCCATTTACCATTGTATCCTATAAAAATGTACAGATAGCTTATGATCACATTTTATTTAATCTTCACAAAAGCTCTATGAAGTTCTCTTATGATGTGCATTATGTAGATAAGGAAACAGAATTTAAGCAAGTTGACCAAGAACATGTAGCTAATAAATGGTACAGGTTGGATATGAACCCAGTTAGGGTGGATCTGGGGTCAAACATTGCCTTCATTCCATGTGTACCCCTGAAGTACTATATAGGCAAGGTCTGTCCAAAAAGAGCTTACAGGAAATACAATAATACTGATCCCTCAGTGTGATTTCTGATTTCAAATATTTACTCAAGACCAACAAAACTTCTGCAATCTAGTAATATGTGTAGCTATTCCAGCTAAGTCTTAACTCAAAACTCAGTTAAAGTTGTATATGCATAGGTTCTCCACTGGGAAGCAAAGATTATTAGTTTATGGAGGGATAGGGGAGATCCTGAAACACTTTTCTCTGAGACCAGTGGAGTGACAGAATATGGGCCACAGTTTCTATTATATACCTTTCTCCCTCAGTTTCATACTATTTCATTAACATAAATGATTTATGATTTTTTTCACTGAATATATTTTACTGCTTTCATTGCCTTAGTGGAAAAGTTATATGTCCCAAAATCAAGATGAGAAAGAATGAAGTAATAGGCATGTGTAGTTTTAAAATGTCCTGGAACCTGGCTGTGGATATTCTCATTTATTATCTTCATCTCTTTATTTTCTTTAAATTCTACTGTCATTTTTTGTCTCCTATAAACGTTATTCTCCTGGGTCTGTGGTGAGGATACTCATTCCACTAGTCCTGTTGGCATGCTTCCAAGGAAAGAGGGGAGGAAATAAAAGCATGGGTAGGTGACCTGGACCTCAAAGTGGATGCCGGTGTGAAGATCTTCACCACACTACAACTCTAAGATGCTGAGAGATGCTGAGCCTGAGTTATAAACAAAAAGAATGATAGCAAAGAGACAGTTTTGTGGCTTGTGTCTAGATGTTCACCAAAGCCTTATGTAGTCATGTGGGACAGGCTTTTCAGAAGTGGCTGAATCTAGAGGGTGTGGTGCTGGGATTTAGGGTGTGTGATTAGTAAATCAGTTCACTGATAGGGTTGGCATAGCCCTGGTTAGGATTAAGGCTAGGGCAGGTAGCCTGCACAGAAAGGAACACAGAGAGACTTATCTCCCCTTCCTTGTTGCTTTTGCTACCTTGTAGGCTCTGTGAATTGTCCTTCTGCCATGTACCGCTCTGCCTTGGAGCCAGCCAACTATAGACTGAATGTAGGCCACTTCTACAGAATGCGGGCCAAACAAACCTTTCCCCTTTACTTTTGGTGTCAGGTATTTTGTGTCAGCAATGAGGAAAGTATCTAACACAGACATATTTAGGCATAGTTCAATGATAGATTCAGCTCAGTTGCAGTTAACTATGAATGTGAGTGATTTCCTATCTGGAGAAAGACATTCTTCCTCTTGGATCAAAGAAGGCTCTAGAACGGCCCCTCTGTCAAACAACTAGGTGGTAACACAAAAAGGTAAGACTGAGTCAGCCCTCTTTCCTTTTAAGAAAGAGCTTAATAGTTTTCCGTATAATTTCCCTTGATTCAGGTCACTTTTCACAAACTCCTCAGAGCTCTTTCTAAAATATCGATCTAGTTGATGTTCCTTTCCACAAAGACATCTAATGACCTCTTATTACCTACAGCATGAAATTCAAAAGTCTTTAGCATGGCCTTGTACAATCAGCCCCATATAACTCTCCTGCCTGTATAAACCCATGTTCCCTTTCTGTTCCTACCCTCTTCTTACATCCTATACATCTTGCCCTCCACCCACCCCAAAACCCTGAGTTCCTAAAGAGACAAGGCTGTTTGAAACCCCTGTGGTTTAGTATATGCTGTTCTTTGCTTGAAATGATGTTTCTTTCTTTTACTGAAAACTTCTACCCCAGTGCAAGTCTCACATGGCCCTTTACTAGAAAGTTTTCTTTAGCTTCCTCAGAGAGAATGAGTAACTCCTTGCACAGAACAGCCATGACTCATTGCTCAGACATCTAGTATAGCACTTAGTACTTCCAAGCTTATACACCTGTTCATATTCTCAGTTCTCACCAGACCAAAAGTACTTCCAGGATCATGATTTTGCCTTATTCATTCTGTATGGTCAGAGAATGATTAATAAATGGAAAATAAATGAACAAATCTTATTTCCTTTTTTACTTTTAGAACCCCTTATGCAAGTGATAACTATGACAAGGAGCAAAAAACATGTTTAAAAGAGAAGGTAAGAAATGCTTTATTTTATGCACTCTCTTTTCTTTCTAAAGTTTCCCACATACTACAGTAATCACCCCTTATGCACAGTTTTGCTTTCTTAGTTTGTTATCCATGATCAATTATGATCTGAGTTTATTTTATTATTATATTTTTAAAAGTTTGAGACAGGATCTTGCTAAGTTGCCTAGATTGGCTTTGAACTCACAATCCTCCTGCCTCACCATCCTGAGCAACCGAGTTTATACATGTGTCACATGCCCAGCAGTCTGAAAATTTTAAGTGGAATATTCCAGAAATAAATAATTTATATGTTTTTAATTGCACAACATCCCAAGTAGCATGAAGAAATTTCATGCCATCCTGCTGTTTTGTACCTGGGATGTGAATCACTCTTTTTTTCAGTACTTTTGCACTCTACATCTACCTGCCCATCGGACACTTTGTGGCCATCTCACTGTCAGGTAGACTGTCACAACATCATAGTGCTTGTGTTCAAGTAACCTTTATGTAGTAGTCTAATACTGCGTTGCAGTGTCTACATTATTTGTTTCACCCCATCTCCTATACGCATTGTATCATCTCAGATAACCATAAATGAAAGAAAGATGAGTACAGGACATTGAGGTATTCGGAGAGAGCACATATTCATATAACTTTTATTACTGCATATTGTTATAATTGTCCTGTTTTATTAATAGTTATTGTTAATCTATTATTGTGTGTCTTAGTTATTTTTCTCTTGCTGCTGAGACAAAAGACCAGACACCCAAAGGTAAAGGATGGAAAGGTTTATTTAGCTCAGTTTGTAGAGGTTTCAGTCCACAATTGGCTAGCTTCAAGACAGAGTAACATTGCAGAGGAGAAACAGTTCATGGTGGGCAGAAGGTAGCAAAGCAGCAAGGGATGACCACAGGTCTTTCTATCTCTTCTATCTTATCCAGGCTACTTACAGCAAGTAGCACTCACACCCTTAATCCCAGTGCCCTTGATCCTAGCATTGCACCATGAATCAACTGTAGCACCACACACTCTAGATTCAGGCACTTCTAAAAAAGCCCCACCTATAACTGCATGAGGCTTTGGGGGAACATCTAAACACAAGCCATAACAGTGTGTCTAGTTTATCAATTAAATTTTATCACGGGTCTGTATATATAGGAAAATTTAGTATATGTAGGGTTTGGTACTGTGTTTTTCACACATCTCCAGAGGTTTTGGAACATATCACGTGTGGATAAGAGCATACTATAGTATCATTTCAGAAAACCATTTTTTTAGAGTTAGTTGAAGAAAAAGAAGATAGGCAAAATCAATAAATAAAGTACCTTTTCTCTATATCTTTCAGTTCTAGTATTACTGGTGGTCAATTTCCATGTTTTTGTCACCCTCCAAGCCCACACAGGAAAAATAACTTTTCTAAGAGTGTAGTGGTATGTGATTCTGACAAGAGTGAAACAAAATTAGACCAAGATTACCTTTTAGCAGCTGGCAGTTATATGTGCTCAAGTTCCCGGCTGACCGCAATTGCATCCAATCTCCTTTGGGGTGGTAGCTCGTATTTACAACTTCAAACAACTCATAGGGAGGGATCAGGACCTCCTTCCGGAGGGAGAAGTCTTGTACAAGTGCACCCAGGCAGGTAGATATGGTAAATAGTGTTTTTGTCCCAAACTTTTGTGCCTCTTCTCTTAGGAGGGAGGTGGAAAGGAACTGGCCAAATCGAATAGTGTCACCTATCTTGGCTGCCAGGTGGACATCCTTCATACCATGGTATACCTCGTAACACAGAGTGTCACTCGTCATGCTGAGCTTTGTCCTCAGCAGCTGGATTGCTGAGGTCAGGTAGTAGTGCAGATACTTGAAATGGAATGAATGTTTGTACTGCTGTGGAGACCTGGCAGCGTTGGCCATGGCCCTGGAAAAGTCAGAGCGCACATGGTTATTCAGTGTGTAAACCAAGAGAGCCAGAGCATGTATAGTTGTCATGTTGGCGGGGAGAGCTTTTTCTTGGCTCAGCCAGTTTAAGTGGGCTTTTTGCCATGCCCCGTAGTAATTCTTATGGGCATCTATTTCCTCTGTGAAATAATCTCCTCGACTGAGCTCATCCATGACCTGTTTGCTACAGCCTTGGTATTGATCATCAAAGGAATCTGGTGCCAAGTCAAAATTGACTTTAATTGTAACCTACAAATAAGAGAAAAAAAACCTTGATTTTAATTATTCAAATCAGATAATAAATGTGGTAACAGATATGCTACATTCTATAAAGCTCAAGTCTTTCCCTCCAAACCAGTGTTTGCTGAAGTTCTACTCAAAATCATTTCTACAACAGGGACCTGTGTTAAAGATTGAATTTAGTCTGATAAATAACTGAAAGCTGAAAAAAATCATCTTCCCAGGGAGTAAGTAAATGTTTTGTGTCCCTGAAATCATAGTGTTTTTGCTTACTACATACTTGGAAGAAAAAGTTAATAACCTTATAGTTTAATTATACTTTCTGTTTCCTCTACTCCCACTTTGTATTCTCTCAGGGATGTTACTGTGAATATATCTTTTATCAAGGCCTAAAACATATATTATATCTTTGAATTTAATTGGATAAAAGCCTTAACAGATCAGTAGTATTTGGTTCTCCATGGAGGGACTCCAGTAAGTAACAACGCTCATGTCTACCCAGATTCTGAAAATGAAGGCTGGAATATCACTCTCCATTCTCTTTCACTGGCGCACACATCTTTAGGGCTGATGGCATGTAGGCGGGTTAAGAACACTTTGCGAAGGGGTTGGGGATTTAGCTCAGCGGCAAAGCGCCTGCCTGGCAAGCGCAAGGTCATGAGTTCGGTTCCCGATACCGGAGGAAAAAAAAAAAAAGAAGAACACTTTGTGAAGTGAGGCAGGCTTGCTCACTCAGTTGCAAGCAGCCCTGGGTCCCAGACATGATTCTTATCCTAGAGGAACAGAGAACTCATTCTCTTCGCCACAGGCTAACTCCCAGAAGGAAGGGCATACATACTCCGCATACTCAGCACACTCAGTAATGCTTCCTAGCAGCAAAGTAGTTCGTCCAGATCCAGGGGAGGAGGGTGAGGGAAAGTTTGGAAAGTGATCAAGAGTGTTCCTAGGAAAGTCCCTTTTCTTGAGAAAAAGCTTTTTTTTTTTTTTTTTTTTTTTAAATGAGAAGCCAACTGAATATTACTTTTTGGCATCTAGTCTATATGAAACTGAAGTTAGAGGTTTACTGGGTATGATTACTTCACCATTTAAAACTATTTGAATTATTTAAATTCAAATAGGTATTTCTTGGCAGAAAAAAATGCCTCTCTAATAAACAGTATCTTCCACATTCACATCTTGCTCATTAAAAGGCAAGATTCTCTCTAATGTGAAAGATCTTGGGACTGGAACTGAAAAACACACATTTGGTACATTTACTATGTGATTTGTGATGACATATCATCTGGTTATGTATTAACCATAGTCTTTTAGACCGATTAAGTGATCTTAACCAATAATTCTTATGAGCAGATTTAAAAGTAGGTCTCAGAACCTATTTAAAACAACTAAACCAAACCAAACCAAACCCAAAATTCCAGTTTTGCCAGATCTATGAGGAACTCAACATTTTGTTGAAAATTCCTAGATCTCAAATATGTACAGTTATCTCTTAGCATTAGATTATTTTCAATGTACAACTCTTTAAATGATAAACCTTAAAAATAGAATTTTTTGTGATAGTTGAATGTCAAGTAGACTTAGTTTAATGTCAAGATGTAGACAGTTGAATGTCAAGTAGACTTAGTTTATTTTGCCTTATGTGCCTTATAGAAGCAATATTTTTAATTATTATAGAGAATCAAGAAAATAATCCTGTATTCCACTATCTTCCCCAATGCTGTCGATAAACTGTAAAGAATTTTAAAGTTTTAATAACTGTCTGAAAACTGTCAACATACTTCACTCACATAATTTGCGAAAATGTCTGAATGAAATTAAATCCCTAATGGCTATGGTTTGGGCCAGTAATGGTGAATCTTTTAGAGACGAGTGGCCAAACTGCAACCCGGAACTCAGTTATTTATTGCAAAGTGCCAACACTGCCATTAAACCCAAATACTGAGGTTTTAGTTTAGGAAAAAACCCAACTCATACATTAAGACTTTCGTTTTAAAAGAGAAACAACTAGCATGTGTACCATAGATTTGTCCGCACTGGTTTGGGCCCCTTGGAAGTTGTCACCAGGTGAACATCGTGTTAAAGCAAGGGGATCATGGAAAGACCAGCTCCTCAATTGTCCCACCTACCTTAGAGCACCCCGTGGGTGTCTGCAGGCCACAGAGCAGCAGCAGGAGGGCCAGCTGTCCACTTCGGAGCATCATCCTCATCCCGGGACCAGCAATACCTGGAAGAAGAATCCTCTTGCCTCTGCTGGTCCACGGGCAAGCTTTGTTTATGCTGAAAGCACTTCTTTTCCTTTGAAGCTTTATCCTGAAATGAGCTCTCCGACTTCTCTGTCTGTGTTTTCTTTCTCAGCGGGAACCTCCTCTGTGCCTGTCTGTGTTGAGACGTCTGTTGACTACCAACAACTAAGAGCATTCCAGGAGGCAGAAATCAGCTCTGGGCTTCTTTACCAAGTTGAAATTTCTCTGAGATAGCCGGATGCATGCACCAGATAAGGGTTTACAAAATGACTCAAGTTAGTCTCCAATTAAAAAAAAAAAAAAGCCCCTAATCTATTCTGTATACAGGGGAATGCCAAAGGCATGTTCAGGGTCAGGCCCTGCCGTTCAACTTTGACGTTCCCAGAAAGTCAGGAAAAGGCATGTTTTCACTGTGTTTGAAGCCAAGAAGCATTATCTTGAGCCCCAGGCTTTCATTGTGAGTTCTAAGATTGGTTTGTGCGGGGCAGCTGGGATGATGCTATCGAAAGGTGGGCCTGTGTCAGCTCATCTGGTGCTGCTGATATGTCCTGCCTGGGGTGTGCTGGTACACAGCAGTGTGCCTTTGGTGCTATTGGCGAAAAGAAGTCTCTTTTTCCTGCTTTTCCATGGCACATTTGAAACTCTCCAATTCAGAGATTGTAGCTGTTGCACTCAAAGCTCTTCCTATTTTCTCTTCTGAAAACATCGGGTCCTGTATCTACTCTATTTCTCTCTACAGTAAATCCCAGTGATGGTCAGAAAACTACCTATGTGTAGCTGACATAAATCCAAAATAGGAATCAGTGTGCAAAGTTATTCTAGCACAGGTGTGCTATGAAACACTCTTTCAGGAACCTCCCTTTCTACTCTGAATATTCTTCCTCTGTTCATAGCCCTGATTTTGCAAATATTTTGCATTTATACTTCCTGATTCATTGTTTAACTGTTAAAGGAACTTTAGTGCTCTTCTTGAAAATTCTGTTATTGATTTTCTTCCAGCACCTTACATATTTTTTATTTTAATTTTCTAATGATCACAATAGTTTTATCTCATTTGCAAAAGTTCAGGATATCTAAGGAAGCCTAAAGGAAAAACCAAGGTTACTTATAACCCATCATTGAGAGAAAGCCATTATTTAGATTTAAATTTTGGTTTTACATATATATACATTTCAGAATCCAAACAATACAACGTATAGTTTTATACTTCTTTTTTTCTCCTAACATTTAACATAAGAATATTCCAATGTATTTCACATTTATGGGGACATAATTTTCTTGTGTAATATCGTAGTCCACCATGTGGGTGCTACCATGAATGAAATAGCACAGGCAGACCCACGGACTGTGTTCTCTCAGAAGCACATTGATTCATGATGAGAACATGGACTCCTGAGAAAGCTAATTTGGTTCATTTCTGGCTCTGTCACTTCCTTAGTAATTGATCATGGGTAAGCTACTTAACATCTGTTCCTCAGTTTCCTCATACGTTAAAAGGTAACAATGACTGTACCTGCCTCATTGAAGTGGTGACGTGCTTCCAACCTTTAGAACAGCATTCGGAAACCAGATTATTTAATAAATGGGAACAGTTAGCATTCTTTTTGTTAGTTTATTTAATAACTACTTATACTTAGCTTGTTTTCAGCTTCATCCCATAATACTTAACAATATGTAATATGTTTTAAACATAAACCTTTGTTTTTCATAATTTTTAAGACACAGTTCTAAAGATGTAATCATGAACTAAAGGACTGCATACTTGTGGATTTAATGACAACCAGTACCAATGTATGAAGTACATTTAGTCTTTTAAGACTAAAACTTGTTAATATTTCTCGCTATCAGCTGTTACTTTGGGATATGAGATATCATGGTCTGAATATCTGGATTATGAGTCTTGCTCTACTTCTAATGCTGAATTAACTTAAATGTGAAGTAATTTGTGCTCAGCTGCAGTTTCCTTAACTTATAGAGTTGGAAATATTAAGTAAGGTAGCAATTTTTGTTTACTGCTTCAGGATCTTTTTTTATATTATCTCAATTTACCAGACAACCATGAAGAGACATGTTAACCTTCACTTACAGATGTGACTACTGGGGGCCTTATTTAATAAATGGGAACTGAACAGGTTTTCAGCAATCATGTACCTTTTCTCTCCCTTGCAGCTCATTATCACCAAAAACTCTGTAAAGCGTGCCATTTTAAAACTTTCCTAACATGACCACCACTTCCACAATATGGCCACTAGAGGGCACCAGGAACTTTTGTAACCTTTTAATGTCACTCTTGGAGAGAACAGAAGTGGGGGAGACGAGACAGGCCTGAAATCTGGTGTGCACGGAAATGAAAAAATTGTATTCTCACAATGTTTAGCAGCATTAAAAATGATAACTGAAGAACAAAAACTCATAGAAAATCCATTGCAGCAATAGTGAATTCTTATAACTTTTTTAGGTAGCTGTTTAAGAAGCTTTGCTAATTTTTAGGCCCGTTTTCTGGGTTAAATTCTAAGTGTTCTAGACTAGTTTTCTAAAGCTACTTTCTGAGCATGGGGTGAAGTAGTTATTAGAGGGCCTTAGCCAGGAAGGAAGTATACCTTTTGCCCTTAGTCTACAGGTTTGACAGTGACTCCACAGTAGGACTATTTTACTCCCTTGTCAATCACAGAGAAACAATTTGTAGATGCGTCACAATTTGGTAATCAGAACAGGCTTGAATTATCTGCATTTTAACTCGTCCATCTTCATTTACTCTCAACAAGTTATAGAAGTGAGAAAAGCTCCCTTAGTTATTTTATGTGTCATCTGTGAATCTTCCCCATCAACATTTTTGACAGAACAACTTCTGTTATGTGTACTACACATACAGCCTTTGACATTCAGCAAGTATTTGTTGAATGAATGAATGAATGTTTCCAAATTGTAGGAACTGACATTCCCCATCACTTGAAGAAGTCCACTCAATCTGGGACAGATCGGACAGAATTCCTCTTGGTCCATGAGGGGTTCCGAGGCCCAACTTCACAGGCAGACATTTTCCAGGGACTGTGACTGTGTCTGTCCATGGTTCTGGACATAAGGGACAGTAGAAGATCCAACAAAACTTGGGAATCATTTCAATTTCTTCTGTGGAGAAAAGTTATTGAGAATTCCTAATGAGGGAGTAACCATTTGTCTTGATCTGTTTTCTGATGCTATAATTGAATGCCATAGCATAGACTGAAAAGTTTATAAAGAATATAGATTTACTTAGTTCATAGTTCCAGAAGTTGGGAAGCCCAACAACATGTGTCCGTGTCTGGCGAGGACTTTCTTGCTGTATCATAACATGGCAGAGGATAATGTGGGCAGATACAGCAAGCGTGCTGACTCCAGTCTCCCATCCTTTGCTCTTACAGCCACTAATGCTATTGTGGGGGGTTCCAGTCGCTGATCTCATTTCATCCCAACTACCTTGCAAAGACCGCACCTTTAAACACCACCAATATATAAATGTGAATGTTAAGTTTCTAACACATTAGTTTTTGGAAGACACATTCAAACCACAGCACCATTTATTTGTGCAGTTTTAAGGTCCATATTTGCTAAGCATGAGCTCTGTGTCCAACTCTGGGGATACAACAATAACCAATCAGATCGGACTTCAGCTCCGGAGCTTAGAGCTCAGCAGTTTTGAAGGTCAGCTCGTAGATACCAGGGGTGCAATATTTAGGCAGAGATACTGGTAAAAATTTCGTTTCCCAAAACAAATACAAAAAGAGAATACTAGTCAGATAAGTTAGCTAAAGAATGGAGGTTAGAATTGAGGGATAGTTCTAAAACTGTGGAAGACAAAAACTTTAAAGCTTTCAAAACATAGGAGTGAGAGAGTTGGATATTACTTATAATTCTAGGAAGGGGCTGTGACCCCAGATAAATCAGAGACCAAGTTCCAGGGTGGACAAACAGCAACTGAGGACTCAACATCCAACTCTAGGCCCTAACCTGGATCTCCGTGAGGCTCTCATGGGAGACTAGAGGAGAGGCAGTCTGAACACAGAAAAAGACAAAGACTTTCAAAGGTGGAGTGAATGAGCGTGGCCAGCCGGGGAAAGCAGGATGGCCAAAACAGGGTGATGGGAGAGCAACATTATCATACAAACATCCCTGCGTCTCATGCCAATGAGTTTAGTTAAATCTCCATGTTACGTATTTTTAAAAGTGTGTGCGTGTGTGTGTGTGTGCATGTGTGTGTGCATATGTGTGTATGTATGCATAAGTGTACGGTGATATACCAATGGTATTTTGGAGGCAAGTAGTGCTTCCCAATCTAACACTTTCTACTGTACCATGTTCCTGCATTTCTAGCATTTCTCCCACTTTGCCATTTGTTTTGGTTGAAGCCCTGGTTGTTTTACACATGCACTGAGCTTGTGAAGTAGACTGAGGCTTCTCATTAGCAATAGCAATTTTCTGTGTTCCATGGATTAGTGGTATATTCAGTTACATACTTTTTTTGAAATTAAGATATCTATCCTTGTTTTGGTGCAAAGGTTTCATATTCAATAGTCCTTTAGAGACTTCTATTTTATTCATTAAAGGAAAATGAACTGGAAGCCCCCCCACCTTTATTTTTTACCAAGTTTACAGCATACCTTGTTCATTGAGTCATTTCTTTTTATTTCTACATAGAATGTCTGTGCTACTCTAGGCAGAGCGGTATAGTTAGGTAGGAGGAGTCTTACTTTCTTCCTGATGAACCGCAGTCAGTGAATGCTTTGTGTGGCTCAGAAGTCTGCCTCTTGAAGCTTTCTTCTAATCCTTTACTCTGCTGAAGAAAATAGCTTTTACCCATCTCGTAGTTCCCTGGAATCTCCTAGTTCCCTTAGAAACACAATTAACTTCCGGTATCCTCAGTCCTGGTTGTGTCTTGAACAATTTGTAGCTTCTGTTCACCAGCAAAAATTGACGGCCCTCTTCCGCCACTCAGGTATTGCTTCTGCAGCTGTTTGGAGCGAGGTGGGAAGAAGGCGCCATCTTTCCTGGACAGAGCGGGGATAAGGAATAATGAAGGGCTCTAAGCTACGGTGTGGCTATTTTCTTCTCAGGTTCTGAGTATCTGAAGTCAAATCTTTTCCAGCAATTTAAAGATTAATTTTCTTTCAAAAACTGCCATTCACTTGAGATCTGAATATTCTGTTTACAAACGTAGTATTGGTCTTACCTCTGCATACTTCACAAACCTTTCTGACCTTATGTTAACAGGATTTTTGGTCTTCCCTTGCTCTGAGACATG